TTAATAGCTCGTGGCCTTAACATATAGTTTTTGAAAAATAAACAAATACATTTCACACTGATGTATTCTTGAAAGAGTGCAATTCATTTGAGGGCGATCAAAATAGTTAGATAATGACGAGACCGAATACATTCAATTTCTGTTTATTACGTTTGCTAATTGGCATGTGCATGCTAATTGGAGTGAACATTCGTTTATTACGTTTCCTAATTGAAATTTTTAGTACAAGTTATTACCACAGATGATAGATTATACCAGATGTCTCACTCAGCCAAAATTGTGTCCGCGATTTTTTATGAGCACGCGTTGGCCGCCATTTTGGCAGTAAGTGTAATCCACGCCATGAAACGTGAGCAATCACGCATTTTGGCAGTAAGCGCCATTTTGGCAGTAAGTGTCGCACTCGTCATCTGGCGTGATAGCCTCGCGAAAATCGCGGACACGAAAATCATAGGGATAGATCTAGATACACAGTGAGACATCTGGTACAATCTATCATCTGTGCTATTACGCCTGACATCCAAACCGACCGATACACTAGGCAAAGTCGAGATCATGAAGAAACATCAGTATCAAGAATGGTGTGCTACTTATCTAATGTGGATTTAACAAGTTTATTATAAAAAGTCTAAAGTCTATTGTTGAGGGGTAGCATAGTTTGATCAAATCGTGAGGAAACCTACTAGAGGTTCTCGGATACTGGATGTTTTCTTGACAAATATCCCTCATTTATGGAAGGCTCCTATAGTTTTTAGATGTTTGATACGCTCTGATCATTCTGCGGTTGTTGTGACTCCACAGCTACCTGTTAAGCCTGAGAGAAAATTTGTATATTTTCGTGATGTGAGGTACCACCGAAAAATAAAAATGGAGAATAAATTGAATGTATATGACTGGAGCCGGATTTACGATGCCAACACTGACGATGTTGACGAAGGAGTCGATTTGTTGAATGAAACTCTTTGTAATATGTTCAATGAGTGCTTTCCCACGATTAAAGTCAAAATGTCGACTCGTGATCCACCATTTATGTCCCCGCTTGTTAAGCATCTGTGTAATGTACGAAATAGGGAACTTATGAGAGGCGCTGATACTGGCCTAATTCAACAGAAGATAAATAAACTTATTCGAGAAAACCAAGTCAAAACCATTCATGACGATAAAATCAATCACAGATAAGGTTCTCGAAAATGGTGGAAAACCGTTAACCAAATTACTGGGAGAGGATCTAGGTCGGAAAATATTGGTAATATTATCGATCCAGAAATTATGAATGCTTACTTCCAAGGTATAAACACTGATAATGAGTACGTGAGACCTGATCCATTGACAATCCCTGAAGGAACTCGAGTTCCAACTGTTGACATCAAACATATTGAAGACGTTATGATGAGACAAAAACAAACATCACCTGGTCCGGATGGTATTCCGTATTGGGTTTGGAGGGATTTTGCCTGCTATCTTGCACCTGTTCTTACAAATGTATTAAATTCTTCTTTGCGACAGCAGCGTGTACCTAGTATGTGGAAGCTAGCGAATCTAAGCCCATTACCTAAGGAACCTCCGTTAACCGAATGCGAACAATTGAGACCAATATCGTTGACTAATGTTATTATGCGACTCTTCGAAAGGATCATATTTCAAGAAGAGATTCGTCATCCCTCAAAATTGATTATTGATAAGAACCAGTATGCTTATAGGGAAAACTCGAACACTACTGCAGCTCTGATAAAGTGCCAGCATCATTGGCTAAAATGGTTAGACGATAAGGCTAACTTCATTCGGGTAATATCCTTCGATTTCAGTAAAGCGTTTGATAGCGTCCCCCACGATATTTTAACACAGAAATTGAAATCAACAAATCTTAATCCATATATTATCAATTGGCTCATTAATTTTATATCGTGTAGGAAACAGAGAGTTACTGTAGATGGAACTGTTACCAATTTTGTTAATATCAACAGAGGAGTACCTCAAGGTATAGTTCTTGGCCCCTTCTTATTTTCGTTAATGGTCAACGACATTGAAGCCAAACATCCACAAACGAACAATTTGGTCAAGTTTGCAGATGATTTAACAGTGAGTGTTCCTGTCACATCGTCTGGTGACTCGGCTTTGGACGAGGTAACTAACATTGAGAGTTGGGCAAGCAACAATAGAATGAAACTCAACTTTAAAAAACCTGGGAAATGTTACTATGTACTCGTTCACCTGCCATACCTCCCCCCCCTTATTAATGGAATACGACGTAAAAAATGGTTAAAACTACTTGGTGTCACCTTTCAAGAAAACCCACGTTGTTGGGACAAGCAGGTAGATAGCTTGTTGTCAAAGGCAGGAAGTCGAATTTACATCCTGAGAGTTTGTAAATTCTACGGATATTCACTAAATGAACTTACTAAATTGTTCGATTCATTGATCCTGTCGTTATTTTACTATGCAATTGAAGTATGGGGATCGGCTTTGCAAGCGAAATACATTGATAAATTCAACAAGTTTCTCAATCGTGCATTCCGATATGGATACACTCAGAATAAATATTCAATGGCCAAGATGATTGAGGAGAGGGATCGATTATTGTTCAATAAGGTCATGCACAATTCTGAACATTGCCTATATGAGTTGTTACCGGAAGAACGTCGACGACCTTTAAGAGAACGCGATCATCAATTTATGTTACCAAAAGTTTACACAGAACGTTTTAAACAATCATTTTTGAACAAGTGTCTTTTTAATGACTTTTAGTTTTAAAAATTTTGTTATATACGATATATAATATTAACTATAATGCATGTAAATAATTTAATTTAGAAATAAAATACTAAATTTGTAAATAATCTAATTAACATTTCTCATATGAACTGAACGTTTTAATAATTACTATATATATATTTATATATATCTTATATGCACTGTAAAGATGCACGTTTGTTGCAATTTCAATTTTTAATAAAGACGTATAATAATAATAATAATAGTCCCATTTTGTTCACGCTTTTTAGAATTACATCACAATATCTCAACCTTTTACAATTTTTTGCGATTTTTCGAATTTAAATGGAATTTGGAGACAGCTGCTGTGTGAAGCATATACAAAATACCTGAAAATATAAACAGAACTAGTCGACGTTTCGAGCGAAGGCCCTTCATTGGGAAGTTAATCTCTACCCTGACACTAGCACCGACTGTTGCTAAATGAGTAAGGGCTGTTTTTCTAGTCGACCAACATTTCTTTGCACTTATCAGTATCCAGCTGGAGCTAATATTATATCATCCATGCGTTTTAATTCTTGCGGAGATCATTTATCATGCCCCAATTAAATAAGGGACTTGCGGAAGGAGGACTTTCTCGTGCTAGCAGATTGCAGGTCATAACTCATAGACATAGACATAGGGTTGTTAACCAACCTCATGAGTTGGTTATAATTCCATTTCAATTTTATGTTAATTAAAATCACTATCAATTGAGTGAGACTGCTAGCTACATGCAAGAAATATGTAAGATAATAGTCACAATACTAGATTCCCCTTATTACGTTTTCGTAGCACTTTGCATTGTTTGTTTTGCCAGTTTTAACAGCTTTATTGAACGATGTTCAAACGGCAAGAGTGCGAACGGGTCTCAAGACCCATGCGAGGCACTCACCCTCTTGAATTTTGTTTACATCTAATATCATTATATTTACGACAATATTATAAATTGGTAAACATATACCAGCTGATTAATATCAAATAGGTCGCTATTGCACCACATTTAAGTTATCATACATAATACAGATTTGTATAATCATGTTAAAAATTTGAAAGCTGAATCAGGATAAAACAAAACCTGACACGAGGAGCTGGTATATGTTTACATCAGAATTAACTATTTCTATGGCATGAACAGCTACGATACAAAGACCACGTACAGCACATGTCAACATCAAAACTACTACTTAATAAATTGAAGTATGTTCTTGATAAGAAGGATTTAAACGTTGCCAAACTGCGAAGATCTCCAGGAGAAGCAATTTTGCAAGTATGATTCCAGAGTGGAACAATACGGTTAAAGAACGATGACTGAAAAGTGCTACTTTTACATGACGGAACTTTAAGCACTAGAGAAGGATTATTACAATTACGGGTACGACTATGATTAACAAATGACACAAAATCGAAAACATCCAAATCATAAAAACCATGCACAGTTTTAAACATAAATGTCAAATCCTTAATTTCCCTGTCAAACGCCAGTGGTAAAAGATTCAGAGCAAGCAATCTGTCCTTGTAGGTCATGTCACCTTTCTTCGATTGAAGGATCCATCTTGTTGCATGCCTTTGTACTTGCTCCAGATTTAATTTGTTATTATATTGGGAGGGAGACCAAACCTCTGTGGCATAGCATAATTGAGACTTGACGAGCGAAAGATACAGAGCACGCCGGATACCGCGGTGTGTTAGCAAGGGGCATGTTCTTCTAAGCAAACTAAGCAACCTGCTCGCCTTGACTTTTATTTTATTGATATGGGTTGTCCATGAAAGGTTACTGGTCACTCAACCTTGACTGGTCACTGTGATTCCCAGATCAACTTCATCATTCACACGCTTCAATTCGGATGATCCCAGATAATATTCGAAAACAAAAGGTGTTTTACGGCGGGAGAATGTCAATATTTTACATTTTGAGGGATTAAAGTTGATGTTGTTATCCTTACTCCAAACATTCGCACACGACAAAGCTTCTTGTAACTGTGAACAATCCTCTGGAGTTGAGATTTCTCTATATAATTTGGTATCATCAGCATACAGTCCTGTTGATGTAGATTCAGGAATGACATCAGGAAGATCGTTGATGAAGAGTAAGAAAAGCATTGGACCCAAGATGCTTCCCTGTGGAACGCCAGAAGTGACAGGGGACCATGACGAAGCAGCACCCTCTACAACAACACGCTGGGTATGGTTATGCAGGTAGTCAGAGAACCATCTGTAAAGGTTTCCTGCGATACCGTAATCTTTCAGCTTTCTTAAGAGAATAACATGATCCACTGAGTCGAAGGCTTTAGCGAAGTCAAGAAATAGAATGTCCGTCTGGGTATTTTTGTCAAGCAATTGTCCAATACGATGTAACGTTGAAAGAAGCTGTGTAGCACAAGAACGGCGATGAAGGAATCCATGCTGAGCTTCGTTAATCGAATCTCGGATATGTTCGTAGAAACGATTACAAACACATCGCTCCAAAACTTTGCTGATGATAGATAGCAGTGAAATTGGACGGTAGTTGATAGCTAGTTCTTTCTTATCTTTCTTATATGAATTGGTGAAACATCAGCTGATTTCCATTCAGATGGAACAGTACCAGTATGTAATGAATGACTAAAGAGTGAGCAAAGACTTGGAGCAATGGCATAACTGCATTCCCTCAATACCCGAGCAGGAATACCATCGGGGCCTGTTGCCTTAGTTGGATCCAATAAGTTTGCAAGATGATGGGCAACTTCTTTTTCCGAGACGGTTATATCAGACAATTGTTCCACAGGCGACAGTAAGGGAGGTCAATCATCAGTGATAGATAAAGCTTTAAGTGGTCGAAAAACGGAGCAAAAGTATGAATTAAAAAGTTCTGCTTTTTGTTTTCGGGTCATCGCTGTCTCATTGTTGTGTAATATGACAGGATTCAGTGCTGAACGGTGGTGGAGTGCCGCTTTATGGTAATTCCAAAACAATTTCGGATTTTCTTTAAATGAAATTTCAATTTTGTCCAAATACTTTTTATGTTTCTTTCGAATAACATTCTTGACTTGCTGACACAATGTCCGGAGTTTAACCTTACGTTCAGGCGTTTTCTTCAAACGATATTTACGTAAGGCGGTGTACTTTTTTCGGATTAGATGGCGAACTTCTCCAGGCGATCCAGGGAGGAGAGTTGGTATCCTTAACAACTTTGGTCGGAACATAACTTGATACAACTGAAAAAAAAAAAGTTCTTCCAATGCTTGCAACAATCATCAATGTTGTCGGAAAGATATACACGAAGATCTGTTTGAGACAAGGCTTTACAAAGTTCAGGAAAGTTAGCTCGGTTGCAATCATAGACTGTTCGCCGCACAGGTTTTGCTTTTTTGAACTTTGTGCGAATAAGGAAATTGAATTCAATATTATAGTGATCAGTCGGAAAGTTATGTTCATCACAGGAGAGAGTCAGTACGTCGGACAGGGTTTCGGTCCGATTGCAAAACAGCAAACAAGCTTATTTCCAGCACGGTGGGTTGGGCCATCTACGAACTGATACAGAAAATTATCGCCGATAAGTTCACAAAGGTTTTCACCATTGTGGAGCAACCACCAGTGCTAATAGGAGTTGATGGGCTGCCTGACCAGGAGATAGAAGGAATATTAAAGTCACCAACTAGGATTATGCAACATGACTCCGGGTTAGTTGCTATGGAGTTGTTTAGAAGACTGAGACCGGCATCAGGAGAGGAGTTGGGAGGACGGTAATACACATAAAGAATTACTGGTTCATTGTTCGCTTTACTGAGTTGAACTACAGCAAGTTCAATGCCATCTCTTTCGAGGTCACAACGCCGAGTAGCATGTAGGTTTTCTCTAATCGCGATTAGAACTCCACCGCCAATTCTCCCCGTCCTGTCCCGACGAAAAATATTGAAACCTGGGAGTAGTTCTGTATCAAGGATTGTATTTTTTAACCAAGTTTCACAAATACAGACAACTTCATATTCACCACCGTAAACCAACTCCTGCAGTAAGGTTATTTTGCAAACTTTATTTGAAGTGTCATTGTCAGCAGGGACGAAAGACTTCAAACTTCGGGCATTTAAGTAAAGAACTTTTAAGGTCGTTAGGATTAGTTTTACACGGCTTAGCAGGAATGGGATGGGAAGGACCTGGATTTAGTTGCACTTCGTTTGCCAAGAGGACCAACATCAGTGGTAAAGACGATCTTTGTAGTAAGGCAGATGCATTTCGAACAGTTCGAAGAATAGATAGTGACGTCGAATCTTTTCTCATACGACGGGCTTGAGAAAAACAAAAAGAGGTTAGAATGTTTGTAGACGAGTAAAATAATGGTGGTGTGGTTATAGTGGTATAACTAATAATATAACTATAATGGTGGTGTAGTTATGGTGGTGTGGTTATGGTGGTGTGGTCATTGTGGTTATAGTGGTATCACTGATAATCAAGATGACTTATTTTTGTCCTGACCCGTGCAAGACAGTGGCGTAGCGAAGGGAGGGGGGGGGGGGGCGAGGGGCGGTCGCCCCCCCAATCGCAAAAAAACCTCTGAAAAAGGCTAAATCCGTAGAGAAATTGAGTGGGGGGGGGTACACGTTACATGCTCGAAGCTGAAACTGATTAAGTACGTCTCGAATCTCTCGACTGAGGAAAACGACGATATACTGGAGGAACTTGATTTGTAAAATCTCGTTAAAGCAGTTGTAGATATGGTTCCAAGAAGAATAGATTTAGTTTAGATTTACATGTATGCATTATAATAGCATGAATATTCTTCACAGACTTATTCTGTATCCGGTATAAAAAAGTAACGCAATTTTGAGAATGCGGAAATGCTGTCTCATAGAACCTAGAATCAGTAGAATGATTTAAATGCAACATTTCTGATCAAAATTACATTGGGATTTTCTTCCCCCAGCATCACAGAGGGGAAATAAGGTGACGCTGACCGGCTCCTCCTGTTTTTCAAGGTGACTTTTCCAATTTATTTAATTCCGAGTAGAAAATTAGAAATGTCTGGGAAAATTTATGTCTTCGATGTACTTTATAATCTTCGGAATTCTGCAAGATTTCACCCCCAAAATGCTTGAAATCGCATTTCAGGGACTCTAGATTTCAAAATTTTCACGGGGCTGCATGCCCCCGGACCCCCCTAGATGGTTTAGCGCCTTCGGCGTTCGCTTCGCCCCCCCCAAAAAAATGAAGGTCTGGCTACGCCACTGGTGCAAGAACGTTTAACAAAAGCTAGGATCAGGTGCGCGATAGCCAACAGCAAAATATTCGCGAAAACAGTCCGCGCAATATTTTCATTCGAGGCCGCTATCTTTATCAGTGATACCACTATAACCACAATGCAAAGCGCTACGAAAACGTAATAAGGGGAATCATTAATTGCTAGAAATATGTAAAGGACCGGTCATTATTTATGGTGGGGGGGGGGCGGCACCGAAGAGAAATGTTTTTCGTGGCAAAAATTTTGCTGATCCAACCATTAAAAAATCAAAAAAAGTTTTATCGAACCTCAAATATCAATTAAAAATAAATAATCACCTCTGGCCAAAAACGTTACAAAAGGATACCATTCAGTTGTCACACATGTCCTTTACCACTTCCGTGACATGTGTTTGACAGCGGCTTGTGGAGTTTTCTGCAGTCTAAAGTTTCATGTTGTCTGCTGATGTAGTTTCTTTTGAGACACCATTTGTGTCCTGACAAATCGGAAAATGATCAAGATAGTGACTCTGATTTATTCAATATTGTATTGATGATGACTGGCATTGCTTTTTAGCACAGATGTGCTTTTTAGTCCTCATGCTCAATATTTCAGTGAGTCATGCTTACAGGTCACTAGGTTCAGTGTCAAATGATGAAATGAGTATCTGGACTACCAACTTTTTCTTGGTTGTGTTGGAAATCTTTTGCCGACAAGTTTGATTAATATAAGTATTTTCCGCTCACTGTTTCAGTCCATAACCCACTGGGACTGTATTTCGTTTATTCAAACAATCTTTTTAGACCTTTTTACAATCAATCCAACTAACCAATTTTATATACATTCCATACGATCTCTAAAACCTTGCAGTATAAGACATTCTTATTCAAAACACTTTTAAACAGACTTAAACTCTCGAACTAGAACAATATTTTTGTACTCATATTTATAATTGCTCTAAAACTAGGAACAAATTAGTTCACACGTCATGTTTTAACAAAAGAAAGTGTCATTTTTTTCATTCTATTTTCTTGGTTGCGGTTCTGACACGTACGTGCTGTATTCATATATGAAAGCTGCAATGAAGTTTATCCTATTCACCGACGAGTCGAGAGCTACATGAAATGGCCCTGATAGCTGGGCTAAAGGATGGGTGTTTAACGGTGATCACTTGTCCAACAAGGATGAGGCGTCAACAACGAGGCGGGGTCGTTATGATTTGGGGTGGTATCATTGGAGATGAGCTCATCGGTCCCTTTCGTGTTCCCGAAGGAGTAAAGCTGACCTCCAATACGTATTGCCAGTTTCTGAAGAATGCACTCGAGCCATGGCTGAATGATCTTCCTTAGACTTGCCACAAGTTGACCTTGAACGAAACGCGAGCAGCGAGCGCGAGCGACGAAGTCGCTCGCGCGAGGTCGACTTGTCATACTTGCAGGGTTTTCAATTGCATTTCGCGCTAAAAAATGTGAATAAGTTATTGGCTATCAATTAACAGGGGGCTGATTTGTCTAATCGCATCATTATCTAATCGCATGTGCGTCATATTTCATATTTGTCACTTCGCTTTGCGAAGCAGTCGTCCCCAATATAGGAACTAAATTGACCAAACTGCTAACTTGGTCAGTTGGTCTGACCAAATTGCTAACTTGGTCTTTCATAAGCGAGACCAACGGAACGACGACGAGAACCAACGACTTGTTATTTTCCGACAAGTACTCGAAAGCATGCGGAGCAGCGATGTTTTGCTAATTTTAGAAGAGGGGGGACGCTCTTGAAAATCAAATGGGCGTGGTCATTCGATTGGGCGTGGCTATTGGCCATGAAATTAAACAAGCGGGGATTTAGTGACTTTAGTCTAATAGGCAAGCTTGTCAAAATATGTCACATTGCTGTGGATGACGGTTAACGAATGGCTACGAAGCCAGTTTCAACTTCTGAAATTGAGTCTTCCACAGATTTTTCAGTAAAGAATTCAACGATTTTAGATCTTTTAGAAATCATATCTCTTATTAACTACAATGGTCAACAACCCATTTTACAATTTCTGGCTTAGGCTTGATTTTTATAAATTAGTATAGTCTTTCACGCAATCGCGAAATTAAACATTAAAATCATCAATGGGAACATAAAATGATTCAATAAGAAGATTAACATGAATGGGAAAGATTCAAGGATATCTATTATCCAAGCTTATTTAGTTACTCGTGAAAACGTCATATTTAACTTGCAAAGTTGCCTATTTGCCGAGTTGGTTGACTCACATAGCACTAATGCATGTTCTGCTAACTCCATGCATAAGGTAATTCAAATTATATCCCGCTGGGCTGCTGCCTGACGTTATCTCCATGCTGATGACAGTTGATTGTGAACTATCTAAGTGGACGTCAATCATAAGACTCTAGACTATTATTTTGTACTAGTCTGCTAGAAATTTCGGCAAATAACACGTATTTGGACGGTGTCGAACGGCGTTCACTGAACTTCGCTAATATTTAATCCCTGCCAGGGGGAACGGCGTTCCCCCATGTTTGATTTTGGCAAGGGGGACGCCGTTCCCCTGGTAAAAAAAGGTGGGGGGACGGCGTTCCCCCGCGTTCCCCCTGGAAAACATCACTGATGCAGAGCTAACTCAAAGGTTAAGCTTTTCCCATATCCTGTCTGTGCCGAAACGAACACATCTCTGCCAGATAGATAGGCTTCAATGGTCTGCCGTTGAACTCTGAATAGCCAGAAAACTGCTGTGCCTTTTCAATCGCCTTTGAAACCGAATTCTCCATTTAGAAAATGCCTAATTGTATTAAAATTGCAAACACAGAAACCACAGACACAGTGTTGAGAGGCAGAACACGAAATACTGCGCAATTTCCTTGTTTCCGGAAGTCTGTTTATTAATACGTCAACATGTCCCTTTCACGTTTCTCTGATTGGTTGAAGAGATCGTCAACTGAATATACACAATATATATAGATCAGCGTTACTGACCCATTTTTGTGTCAATAAAATTTGGCGCGCTGCAAGTATGACAAGTCGGCCTCGCGCGAGCGACTTCGTCGCTCGCGCTCGCTGCTCGCGTTTCGTTCGAGGCCGACTTGTGCCAAGTCTAGATCTTCCTTTGTCACGACTGAAAAAGATCATCTTCATGCATGACAATGCCCCATCCCATGCAGCAAAGGCTACAACAATTTTTTTTAAAATCGCTTGGATTCGTGAATGATACGCTAATGGCAAAGCCCACAAATTCGCCAGACTTAAGTTAAATGCCATAGAAAACTTGTCGTTCATAATCAAGCGCCATGTTTATGCTAATGAAAGCCAGTGGTGCCTAAATTACTTTGAATTTGTACTCGAGTAAAAGTAGAAGTAATTAACAATAAAACGACTTGAGTAAGAGTAAAAAGTACTGGAAGCAAAACGGGTATAGGCTACTTAAGTAAAAAGTACAAAATATCCTTTAAAAATACTTGACGTACAAAGTAAAAGTACCATTGTTTGTAGCGTATAGAGGGGGGGGGGACTTCGCCAATGGATCGACATACAAAAGATACAAAACAGAACATGCATTATGTGCGTGCACCGAATATACAATATTTCACGGCATGGTCTACTTTCCAGACCCCGTTGAAGATATAAGAAATCTATTAAATAAATAATGCTTATAATTAAGTCACAAACGAGAGACCCCAGACGCATGTAGCGGTCCTATTACCTATCCCAAAATTAAAATAAATCCAAAATAATCACGTACAATTTGAAACAAAAGTTAGAAAGTAACGAAATACTTCGCCACAAAATGAAAATAACGAAGTAAAACGTTACTTTTTAAAACGACTTCGTTCCAAGTAAAAGTACTCCCGAAAAAGTTTACTTTGTTACATGCTGACTTCTCAAAAATTGTACTCAAGTACAATAACGAAGTACATTTACTTTACACCACTGATGAAACGTTACTTGACACCACTGATGAAAGCAGTATTCTTCCAAAAATGACCTCTGTATGGATGGCAATAGAAGAATCTGCAGCTTCCATCCCTAAGTCCACCATCAAGACACTTACAGATTCGGTGAACGACAGACTTTATGAAGTCATCAGACGTCACGGCGCTCATGTTAATATGTTCAAGACTATGTCACGTTTTCCTTTCCTATTACTAAGTGAATTATTTCTAAAATTTTGTGCTAATGTGTCTACATTGAAAATAAATCCATATCAATAAAATAATTAGTCAATAAATTATTTTCCATTTCTTTCTGATCCAGTTAACTTTGCTTTTCCGAAACTAATACTGTGGGTGTGTAGAAAAAGGCACAAAATCAAATGAAGCTTCACTTTTCCAACAATATCAATTTGTTTAACTCAATTCAAAGTTTTTGAAGTAACTTGATAACTTAAACAATCTTGAATATTTTCAAGCCCGAATTGTGTCTTAATGACTTTTACGAGATCTGGTATTTAAACTAATCTCGTCGTTTGCACTGTAGTTCTAAGATTGACTTTATTTCTGCGCGTCTGTATAGGAGATGTGTCCCTTCTATTTATCTTAACCTATTCATCCATCAATCAATAAAACGATGATAATAATGTTGAGCAATTTCCATCAACGTCGGGCAAATTTTTGTTCACCCCCCCTAACTTTTTTCGCCCGTAATGATTATAACATAACTAAGTATTAGGAAGAAGAAAAGTTTAATTTAACTAAAAATGATTTTTCTACATACAAGACATGAAGGCTTTGTGTTTTCTGATGCGTATATACAAACATTATGACTAGTTTGATGACAATCAAATATATATTCCAAAAAGAATATCTTTGATTTTATTTTATTTTATTTTAAAAGTAAAATAAGACCTAATATTGCTAATCTTTTCATCAAGAGAATTCCATATTTCAATTCCCCTTGTTAATAACGGTATGTTTTGCATAATTAGTTCTTCTTCTTCGTGAAATTTGTTTGCATTTCGAGTATTATAACGATGTATTTCACTATTCCGCGTGAAGTAATTATTAAAAAATTCAGGTAAATTTTGGAAGTATTTAATACGGTACATGAATAAGCAACTTAAATAATCATTGATCTTAAAAATATATAAGATCTTCAACTTGTGAAATAACGGTACAGTTTTCTGTACATTCAGCAACTTTTGAAGCCTTGTTGGGTATGTATTTCCCCATGTTAGATTCCCATAAGTAAGAAATGGATAAACCAATGCATAATAAATTAATTTTAGCGTATTTCTGTTTGTATAATGTCGTAGTTTTGCAATAAGTGCAGTGGCTTTAACTATAGTTTTCAAAACCGAGTTTATATGGTTCTTGCACGTCAGGTTTTGATCTATTATTACACCTAAAAATTTTACATGAGTAACCTGTTGTATTGTGTTATGATTTAGTTGAATATTAATTTCAATGTCCCTTTTCTTGTAATAATGTATTTAGTTTTTGTTGCATTTATTGATAATTTATTCACATTAAGCCAATTAGTTACTTTATTCATTTCTTCTTGCATGATGTTTGTTAATGATTTCAGATTTTTATCAGAATAAAAAGCATTAGTGTCATCAGCATACCGATAGCAAATGAAATAATTTCACTACAATTTTCAATGTCATTGATATATAAGAGAAAAAGTAGTGGTCCAAGAATTGATCCTTGCGGAACTCCTGTAGATATCGTCCTTTTGTTTGATCTATGATTACCAAATTTAACAATTTGCGTTCTTTTGTATAAGTAGTTTTCAAACCATTTAAGACAATTTCCTCTTATACCATAATGTTCAAGTTTTTTTAAAAGAATTTCGTGGTTCACTGTATCAAAAGCCGAATGACGAATGACGAATCATTGCAAATCTGGGGCATGTGCCGGAAGCGGTCACGCTTTTTTGGCTGTGTCACTATTCTGTGCTTAGTTTCTATAGTCAATTGGGAATAAAATCCTTTATTATTACTCACTGTGAAATTTAATGTACATTTTTTCAATATTTCTTACATAATGACTCTTGGTTGAAAGGTCAAAACATCATTTTCGTAGGAAAATAGATTATTATTGAAGAACGTCATATCTTAACAGATTATTATAAGAACCATCATATCTTAACAGACTATGGTTTCCGTAACACCGAGATCATTATGTATAACTGTCAAAGAAAGAGTATTATCCTCTTGCTCACAGTGACAAAAGGCTTCAGTGGACACTAACTGTACTATATAGACAACTGCACATTTCCAAATACTGTTCAGCATAATAACACCATCCCTCCCTCCCCTAGCCTGCTCAGCAGCTTAGAACGAAATTTCGGGCTGCGAGCAGGCTATCTCTCCCCCACCTTGAACATTATTCGGTCATTGGATTTTGCGCAAATCTGCACAAAACATTGAACGGGGTGAGAGGCCACGGGGGGTCAATTATAGATAGATAGATTTTTTATTAATCATGCACCACATTGTAAATTGATATTATATGTTGTAAACGTTGTAAACATAGATGATATACTCTCACATGTATCGGGAAAAAATATTCACTGACCTGGATTCATGCAATTCACATTACTATGGAGAGCATGAAAAGATAGAGATAAAGACAGAGAGCTCACAGCTAATTGGCTGACTGCGGTTTATATTGGCAACTGCTGCAACAATCCAGAGTAGGCTGCGAGGGCATGTTGCGGCATGTATATTAACGCTGTTTTCATCGCGTTTTGTAAATTAATACAGAATTGTGTATTTTAGATTTAACTGTTATTTAATTACGGGTAGTTAGAAAGTACTTTAAGAGTATCACGCTCCAGGTCAGTTAATTTCATCGCAGTCGGATGAAAATACCCCCTATCGTGTCTCCGAGTCGATCCCAGCCTATTTCGTGATTCAGTGGTGTTCAACTGTTAATTAACCTATCGTTGTGCATTCTGCAGTCACCGCAAATCACCGAACTGACTGCCCCAAATCCGGGATCCATTTCACTTAATAATCGTGATATTCCCTTGGTATACTAAATACATTAAGACAACATACATTTTTTTATAGAATTTATGTATTTACCTACATACTTGATTCGACATTTATCCTCTCCAGCGATGTTTACACTACTCACAAGGAGATTTAATTGGCCTCGCCAGGGATTCATCTGGGATTTTTTGCTCAGTGCTGCATGGACAAAGTCACGTATACAGACTTTTTTTAGTTTTCTTTTGTAGTTATACTTGATTGTATCCGTATACTCCTATTGTTTAATTCGTGGTACTTGAATAACGCAACAATTCTTGATAAAATGCAACTATTTGAAAAATAATCCTAAATTCTTTATCTTCTTGGCTGCCTTTCTACTTTTTCTGTACCAACGTAGTGCCCAGTAATGAGATTTGTGTAAACTGTTCATGGTTGACACGTGTTTAAGCCATATTGTTTCACGAGTGGTTTAATTAAAATTTGCAGTAGTTCTCTTTCCTTTCAATCTTCCGTATTATGGATCTCGGAAATGAAGGCTTATTGTAAGTGCAGAGAGTGAGTACGAGAAAGGATATAAGATGAATGCTAGGAGGACGTATATAATTATTGCCTCATTCACACATTTTCAAGCGAGATAAGCGTCATTCAGGAAAACTTCTGTTCGAGAGATTTGTCTAAATGAATTTACCATGTGGAATTGATTAGAACACAGACTTTTTTGTTTTTCAACGGAAAGTCGGAGAGGATATAATAAAGTTTCACATATGTGCAACACATTATAGAACGTTCCTGAATTAAGAAGGAAGGTCCAAATAAAGTTATAATATTAACACCTACTGAACAGGCTTATCAACAGAAAAGAGACCAGACAACCTTCTCTATATTGGTCATCCATTTAGGAGAAAAGCGTTTGTAGTCAAGCTCAGGGGTTGAATAATTGGCAGAAAAACATGATGCTGGGAGTTCGACATGTATTTTGGACGCTGATTGCTTTATGTGTCTGGTGAGTTTATTTAAGTCAGAAATATAACTTAACTGAATACTAGAATTAAATTATATCTTGTATTCCGGATATGTGGTAAACATTTAACAACTTGTTATGTTAATAGCTGTAAATGATTAAGAATGAATAGAAATCTCTGTTTATGATTTTAACCTATACATATGCATTTTCTGCTAATATAAGCACGACCAAAGAGGCTAAGTGCAGAGAAGGCTGAGAGAGAAAGCAGATATCATTTATATATATTCTCATAATTAAAGTTTAAAATATCCAAAGTCTCTTTATTATCTGTAATGAATATGTCTTCATTTTCTGCCACACACATGAACAGGAAACAATCACTTGAGAATTATGACATTCACTATACTTAGGGACCTAGTGTAAATACGCAGTTTAATAATTTAACTAAATAACATGTTTGCCCTCTTAAGGTCTCTTAAATATAGATTGGCGCGATATTATATTGCCACATTGTACACACACTGTTACAGTACATTTTTCAAACAAAATTCATCGACTGAGAAAAATTTTGAAACCGCCCAGAATTGCATGAATTCCGCGGTGTAATTAAAAGCATGAGACCTTTCATTTTACCAACGTTTGCGATCGAGTATCCTATATCATTGTATCAGTCTGTTAGTCATTAAACTGAAAATGCATTAAAAGAATAAAAACATAAAAGTAGGATATAAAAGATGATGTAAAATCAACAGTAATCAATTGCATTAGTCAGAACTAATTATACCTCGGGTTAGCCTATTCCACAGCCTTGCCCTTGGGCGAATTTGTTATTGATATATTGCCTATAAGTCTATTTTTTCTCTAAGAATTATTCTAATTTTGGCTTGTTTCCCATTTTTCTTGGCAAATAGTACCTACAATATTAGGCAGCGTTTACACTGTACCGTTTTCGTAGCGTTCTCGTATTGTTCGAGAGAACTAGACTATTGTCTTGCGTTCCCTTGAGGATTAAGAACAATACGAGAACGCTACGAAAACGGTACAGTGTAAACACGCTGCCTTAGCCGAAGGTAAATAAGTTCGGCATTTGCCATGGATCGGACATACTGACAAACTGTCCGCACACGCAATATTTGCGGTGTGGTTAACCGGCACAACTTAATTACGGGAACACGGAGTATATTTTCTTAAAATACAAAACAACGGCCCATGTGAATAAAGAAAGCACTTCTATTCTCAAAATATGAAATACAAATGCTTTCTTTATTCGGAGTTAATTACCATCGATTTGTAACCCTATAGTTTACTATACGAATGAACACAGACTTATTATATTTACTCCCCAATCAAGACCTTTCGATCACACACACTATATATCGCTTGGAATCAAACAAACTAGTACCTATAGTGTTTGCGATGGGTAAAAGTTTATTTTCAAAACTCATGGACTTGGTATGTGATTATTGGATGAGTCAATGATAATGTGCGGAACCTTTGAGTATCCCCAATTAATATACTAAATACCTTTGTTTAGATAAATACCTTTGTTTTTGATAAACAATAATACAAATTCTACCATGTGTGCAGTGTAGACTATAAATGACAATTTATGCGTTATCATTCATATGACTGTGCATGTAGAAAGCATGTTAAGGATTAATGACATAAGCCAATTTTCTTCTCCTACACTAAGGCCATAAATATTAATTTTGTGTATAGAACTGTTTAGCTAGCCCACCTCAACGTACACGAAAGAGTGTCTTCTAACTTCCAAGTTCTCTTTAGTTGGTTCTTAATCCTCTGCGGTTTAATTTGATAACACAATCTTCGGTATTTCTATTCTTCGTAACATGACGCTCAACCTAATTCAATGGGTCACTTAAAACTGAGCAATTAACTATATCTTCATTTTCCAATTATTTGAAAATTAAAATGAAAGATATTTAGTTTGTCAAATTAAACCAATTTTTCCAGCTTGGACTTAAAAACAGTAAACGAATAAATGACCCACGGAGTGCTTATCAACATATTTTCGTATCGTTGCTAAGTATTGTATTAGTGATAAATGATCTTGTTGTTTTCATCCTGTCTCCGGCTTAACTTACGACTTACTTACTCACTTACTTATACTTTTCACTTTTTCAGTCAAGTATATTTACGACATATCGTGTGAACGGAAATATGTAGGTGTCTTCATACGCAGTTAACCACCTATAACGACCCTACAACGACTGTTCTTTATCATCCTATTCTTTACCAAAATTGTAATATGTCTGTATAGGGCTATTGAGGGGTGAGTTAGCCCTTAAGGCAGCTTGTTGGCGAGCCTCCTCCTCTCCTCACACAACATGCATGTTAAACAAGGGTGCTGCAGGGTAATCCTTTTTTTCGCATTCAAACCCAACAACAAGTTAACTCGCACTCAGTTCTCAGAAGGACAGAACATTCTGATTCCTGAACAATATCGATGGCGTAGCAATGCATTCCAAACAATGTGGGGATATATATCCCGCCAGAATTAACGGCCTTGGCATGTAGTTGGTATTGAAAACGGTGAAAAAAAGTTATCTACTGAGTGCTGGTGAAGAAATTTACTGCTTACAGTGACTGCCTGTCTATATTGCAACATAAAAAATTTAACCATTTTAATTAAGCAATAGCCTTCATCGGAACTTGGGATCTAAGATTTTGTAATCTAGCTTTCTGATGAAAATTATTTGTTTTAACATTCAATACGTCACCAAGTTTTAATATAGTTATCCAGATTAGCTTGTGTTTGACGTTGTTTCTGTAACAAAATGCTGGGCGTTGTCTCGTGTGATACGCTTCATTAGTATTTTAATCAGTTCTAGAACACACTTGCTTGTACTAATTAGCTATACCTTACATCGTCGTAATTGGTTACATGTTTTGAGATTTGTTAGTCTTATCAAGGCCGCGATGATGGTCTGTGAATGAAGTAATAGATGATTGACCTATTTAGTGTTCTTAATTTTTACTGATTCTTGCAAAGGTATACAGGTGATTGATTTTTGGTATCACTATTACTCATGATTTTCACAATGGAGTGTAATTATCTAATGAAAGACAAGATACCCTACGTTTCTCCGCTCGTATGAGGCTACGTTTCTTTGCGTTAGTTTTCAGTTTTATTTAATAGTATAACTGGCGCATGCGCATGCATAACAGCAGTCACAGTCTATAAAATATGCAATATTACCTTGCTTTACGGAAAATAAGATATAGCGTATATATTACGTTGCTCTGCCCATTATAATATAAGAAATGATATAATTCCTTCCGAATTAGACTGCTTGTGTTGAAATTATTAAGACATTTAGCCGTCCATTTATTGTTGCAACACGGTGTATAGGCCACCAAATGCAACATCTGAAAATGTATATTCTTGGTGAAAATCAGTTCCAGTCCAGATACACCAACCAAAATATAAAGTCACTGTACCCGTGTGACAACTAATTCCAACCTCATATAGATTATATATAAATATATTACAAACACAGCAGAGAAAAATTCCGATTCTGGTGTTATCCATACAGGAATCAGTGATCATGCATCTGAAAATTCATGTCCCGGCATAGCTAAACAGGGACCAAATATTATCGTGATAAGAAATAAAATTTTAATAAGCAAAAAATTTTTATGAGGACTTATCAAATCAATCAGTGGGAGTATGTTTACTTTCTTGCTGATAATCCAAATTACATGTAGGAAATTTGGAAACAGTTATTTTCAGAGATCCAAAATAAACATGCACGAATACAAAAAAAGAAGATTAGGTCCAAGAAAATCCTTTGGATTACAAGTAATATTAAGAGCTAAAAAACACAAAGGATAAATTGAAAAGGAAAGCTATTATTACAAACCTATAGAAACAGATTGGTTAAATTATTTCAAGATATAAGCTAGGTAAACATAGAATTAAGAAAATCTAATAGAATTAAGAAAATCTAAAAAAAAAGACTTTTTCAACAAAATTGCTGGTTGGTCAAAAGTACAATCCTAACAAAGCTTGGAAGTCAATAAACTCATGCCTATTGCCTTGGGACTACAAAGCAAACCAACTATAATAAACGTAATATAGGAGAAAAGAAACCAACAAATTCCTGAGACATTGCAGAGGGTTTTAATGAATTACTTTTAAATATCAGTCCTAGAACCTGGGTTATATATATACTGGATTACTGCGGTATATCATATAGGCGCAGCATTGCTAGTATATAAATAAAATTCTTAAAGGGTCATGATCAACCACAATGCAATGCGTACGTTTGTTTACGTTTCTGTTACGTTGTGGGTCAGAGGCAGCCATTTTCGTGGCCTCGAAAATATCGGCAACTATTGAGGAAAGTAACTGAAAAACATAAACAAAAGCGCGCATTGCATTGTGGTTGATATGACCCTTTAAGATACAGCTTTACCGGTCATTTCAAATTCATAGTTAACATTATATACATCTTCAATCAGCCTGTTACTTCATGCTGTTTTCCTCCAAAATGGAAAGTGTAGCTGTAGTAACACCTCGATCTCTATAAATCTGGCCATCGGAACTTGTCTGGTAATTACAGGCCAATTTCATGCAAGAATCCTATATGACCAACTATACAATTATTTAACTAACTGATTTAAGCTACTTATATTGATTGTCAATTTGTCAATTTCACCCAACTGTTACTGCATTATTCGCAGACTGTATTCATTTGAGACATATTAAAACTGGTATAGCGGACCGAAAAAGATTTAACTTGGTAGTTTTGATCGACTTAAAAAAACTGTTAATGATCAAATTTTGTTAACAAATTGCAAATTTATGGAATTAAAGGACCAGCTTTATCACTATGCGATCATATCTCAAAAATCCCACCCAAAAATGCAAGGTGAATGGATCTCATCTGAACGTTTTAGTAAAGTACGGCGTCCCATGCAAAGACCTTTTTAGGGCCATTACTCTCGTATGGACATTATGAAATGCACACTCGAGAACATTTTCAATATATATATATATGAAAATGTTTTGGTTGCTATATATATATATATATATATATATATATATATATATATATATATATATATATATATATATATATATATATATATATATATATATATATACATATATATTTGTTTTAACAGGATCTTTCGGCTTTGCGAAAATATGACCTGAAGTCAAATAGAGTTTTTAAGAAGCCACATTGCAACTTTAGATCACCCCTGATGAAGACACTAGACTGGAGTGTCGAAACGTTGGGTCTTGATTACAATTCGACTGGGCCGGGCTTTGTATTCATTTATATAAACCAGAGTAGCGAGCGAAAACACAACCAGATTATGTTGGGTGGATTGATTATTAACCAGGAACTCTTGGTTAATAGTCCACCTAGCATCATCTGGTTGTTCCAACCATCCATATCTGGTTAAATTATAGCTAGGACTATGCTCAAATAAACTTTTAACTTTAATTTTTACAATTAATACTTGTAGTGTAGTATGCTCTTCAGTATTGGAAGCTTAAGGCCCGAATACGAAATTACTTCCTGTCGACGTATACGTGACAAAATATAGGGCGCGCCATTAAAAAGTGATGGGGGTGGAGTAGAGGGTTTTTAGCTGAAACAAATTTTTTTATTTTCCTTTTTTGTCTCACGCACCCCCCCTCCCATCCCCACCCACTCAACCCCAATCACCTTTCTAATGGTCCGCCCCTATTAGGCATATGCAAAGTATTTGCTGAGTAAGATTTTAAAAATCAAAACGAACAAACGAAATCGCAATAAAGTGGCGCCATATTTGCAGGGTCAAAACATGGTTTGTAATTCATATACCCATCCTCATTCCTCAACTCATAAATCATAATGATTCTAAATTAAGATAGTAAATGAACGAATTACCCAACAGAGATAGGATTCGTGGCTTCATTAGGAGGAAACATAAAGATTTTTGAATTGTTTACGGAAGTTCTAATTTTTCAGAAATAGATCAACAAACAAGAAACCACACATGCACGTGCGTTCATATCCTGGTTCATATAACTAGTTGTCAGTTTGTCGGATGAAGTGGTTTAATTGAAGGAGTGCTATAATATAACAGACTAGTATGCATGTAGGAAATGCCCAGATGTACTGCACACAGCAAAAAATCAATTTCTTAAGAAAAATTATTTTCTTAATTTAAGAAAATATTTTCTTAAAATGAGAAACTTATTTCTTAAGAAAACTTCTTTTCTTAATTTAAGAAAATGTTTTCTCAAAATGAGAAAATCATTTCTTAAGAAAAAAATTATTCTTAATTTAAGAAAACTGTTTTCCTAAAATGAGAAAATTATTTCTCAAGAAAAATTACTTCTTGATTTAAGATAACTGTTCTCTTAAAATGAGAAAATTATTTCTTAAAAAATATTTCTTGATTTAAGATTCCGTTTTCTTAAAATAAAAAAATTATTTCTGAAGAAAAATACTTCGTATATAATATAGTCAATTCCACCATGGATTGTAAAACAACTATATTTATTTTATTATCCATGATTCCACATATAAATGTTTTCTTAAAATGATAAGTTATTCCTCTAACTGCATGCATGCTTTAATCCTCTAACTGCATGCATGCTTTTTCAACATAACTCATAAGACGTTTTCTCTTGAAAATATATACATTAATTAACCGTTCCTTGATTGATGGAATGATTAATTTCCTCAATGCAGATTATCTTTCTCAAAATAAGGAAGTTGTTTTTGCAATATTCTTGAATTAAGTACAAATTGCACCATGCATGCACATGCACATTACGATTTTTAATCGTTATAGTTTCTATATAATTTTTTATACACACAATAATTTCAACTGATCAGGTGTTTCTGTTGTTATTCAGACTCCATATTGTAGTATGAATCGCAATCACATGGATCTCAGCATTTTCATAAAAAGTAAAACCATAATAATTGCCATAATAAGCCAGAGCTTAGAGGACTCTGGGTCTCTCCTCCGCAGAGGCACAGCACTGACAGCAGAGGCTTTAGTGAGATACATTTCACTACACTTTACATGGCGGATCTTGGAACACGAGCGTAGCCGCTGGGCGAAGGAGCGCAGGCGACTCAGCAATTTGAACTTTGATCCTTCGGCGGTTTGACTTTGGAACAAAGAGCTTATAATAGTGTAAATTATGGTCGTTGAAAATGTTAATTTTGGACACCTAAACGCATCTTTACTTGGCCAAATTACTTCTGAAGGCATTGAATATGGTCAGATAAGGCAAGGTAATGTTTTTTGTTCATATTTTGTGTATTAGAAAGCCCAGTGTTTTGCAACAACCAGTCGATTTCCCGTCGTTGGTTATACATCTCAAGTCTCGACTCGGCAATTCTCATTGCTCGTACATATATTTTCTCAACAAAACACAAAAATGGCCGGGTAATAAATACCGATTATTGTCAGTTAATGCTAAAATCTCAATTATACAAACAACATGCGGTTTGAACGTGCATATATTCAAGACGATATTCTAGCATGCTGTATGTATATGCACATGAATTCAAAATATGTAAAACGACACCAAATAGTGTGCAGTATTCCGACCTGTTTAATCTGATTTCGTGTCGACCATTGATATATGCTGATTCAAGTATAAACTTGATAGTTCATAATGTTTAATTGCCGGTATCAAACTTATAATTTTACATTAAAATTTATAGGGGTTGATATTTATGATGTTACTCTTGAGTGTGTGTGTATCCACACTG